ATTTCACCAAGCTGCATAGGCTTGTCTGGGGCTGGCAAGAAGGATTAGAAGACAAAATGTTGAATGTCTTATGATGAGGTCCTTTGAAATCCTTGGTATGGAAAATCTGAGGATGACCTACACCAGAGGGAAAGTAATTATAGTTTCCTAGTAGCAGCTGGGGTATTCACAGGAAGGTCTTTCATTCCAGGCACTGTTCCAAAGGCTGTTTATGAGCTTGAAATTAAATAGTTGCTGAATAAAAATGCAAAGTAATTCCTGAAGTAATCTTGGACTCCAGGCCTTGCTCCAGAGACTGAAAGCTCTTCAACCACTAGGTTAGAACCATACATCCTTTATTCAAACCAAGCTTTATTATCATGTGAAGTCCAAAGGAGAAGAGCTTTAATAAGCAGAGCTAAGAACAGCTCCACCTTGGGAAATACCAGTTTCCCAAAGAATCTGTTCCTGCTGATACACTGCATTGGTACAAGGGTGGGGGTGATTCCTGCGAGCCATGTGAGGCACAGCAAGCAACGCCCTCCTATGGATTTCCCTAGCAGGACTCTGGGAAAGCCAGTGCAGAGCCTTGTGGCAGCCCTGAGGGATTCACAGTTCAGCAGGTGCTACAGATGTCCCTGGGCAAAGGGGCTCCAGCTGTGCTGGCAGCTGCTGGTCCTGCCAAGGGCTCTGGGATGCTGCAGGTACCCACCAGTGACCCAGCTGCATCCTGTTCTACCCTGGGAAAGAGAAGCTGCAAAGACAGGTAGAAGCCAACTTTTGTACAGCCCTGCTGCTCCAGGCTAAGCTCATCTCTGATTTGTGTACCTGGCTTACACTGCTGCCAGGCTGGTGTAGGTCACTGGCACTATTTCTTTTCAACAAGATCAACATGAAACTGGGAGGGAGAAATTGAATCGTTCTGAAGAAATACAGACCTCTCCCTCTCAGGACAGAGGATTTGTGCTCTGAGCTTTCTCAGACTCTTCAGCATGAGCTCAGTACTTGCAGATATCTGACAAACTCCTGCCATGAAAGTTTAGAGTAAACAGAGGTGATGTGTGACACGTTAAATGTTGCTAATGAGCATCAGGTGTTTGCGGGGAAAAATGGCTTCTCGACTTAGATATGGAAATTATTTTAAAGATCTATTTAGCATTTAGATTGCTTGGGGGGGAAAGAGCTTGGAAAAGTTGATTGCCTTGAAAAATGCTCCGGTACCAAGTGGGTCTCTTTGAACATTGCTTTCATCTTCTCAGAAGAAAAGCAGAGGAGACACTTCATCTTGGGGTAATTAGAGGGACTTTGACATCATTGTCCTTGTAAACAGCGTTATACCACGCAGCCTCCAGTTAAAGAACCGTTTAGGAGAGATAAAATTGAGAGATTGAACAATCTGCACCGAAGCTCTGAGAGGAGCTGTGAAAGTACCAGCTTGAACTAATTCCACCCCAAGCCAAGACCCTTTGGTACGTTTTTAGACTATGCCACACCTGTTGCATATTTAATTCCCCATTTTCATCAACAGGCTGCTACATCATCAGCTCTCACACGCTGGATGATTTAGCCTAAACAAACCTCATACCTACTTCAGCACTTCCCTGTCCACTGCTTTTCTGCTTGCCACAGCACTGGGAACAACACTGCATCTCTTCAGTAGGGGTGAAATGCCAGCCATCACCTTCAAAACACACCAGCATTGACATGATTTCTGGTTTGCCCTCATTATATGTTGGGAGGACTGGGAAAAAAGGTGGTTTGGTGGGTAAAAAATTCACACCACTTTGGCGAGCTATAAAATATGTCATCTCTTCAAATAAACTGTTCTCTGTACTTTGTATGCAGGTGTCCCTCTTCTTTGAAACTGCTGTGGGCACTTCCAAACTACAGCTTTGCTGCAGGGCCAGTTCTGGAACCCATCTGCTGCAGGGAAGCCAATAGCAGAGAGCAGCAAGTCCACAGGTCAGAACTGAACAACCACCAGGAGACCCCATGGCAGCCCCAAGGGGCAGTGACAAGAAATGCAAGGCAGGAGGTGCAAAGGGACCTCCAGAGCTGGGATGAAGCCTGGGAATGCTCACAACCACTCTGGCAGGTAACAGCCACCATGCTCACAAGGAGCTCAGGCTGCTCCTTGAGAAGGGCACACTGAAATCCACCCACCAGCTGGGACTGGGATGAGGAACGGCAAAGCAGCCCTACACTCTTGAACAAAAAATTCAGGGAGAAGAGCCATTGGGAAAAGGAAGTAGACAGACCTGGAAGTGCAGAGGGATTCATGGGTGGCCTTTTGGGTCAGTGAGCCCATTTTGTTTGCTTCATCCTCATGAATTTGTGCCTCCCCCAGGCACTGGCCAGCTCATCACCCAGTACACTGCTGCTGTTACTGCCAAGCTCAGCTCTGCTGCAGGCAATGGTAAGCTGTACCAGTTTCCATGGAAATCAGAGAGAGAAGCTGGTTTCCACCAAAATCACATTCAAAACACAGTTTTGTCCCAAGTGGATTATTTTGTTATCTTTGCTCTTGTTTTTTTTCCACCATGCAGTACAGATGAAACTGAATTTATTTTAATGACTCAGATTTGTAAAGCACAAGTTTCATCAATAAGTCAAGCAGAAGTTGCTATTTCCATTCAGATGGGATGTTTCAAAATAAGGAAAGTCCAAACACTTACCAGTGTCATTTTCAGCACAGAAACACTACCTTGTTCTGGTTTTAATTACTGGTCAGTCCCTGGTGAGATTTAAGCAGCATTTCTCAAACAGATCCAGATCAGTCAAAAAACCAAAATGTTGTTCACTTCCTTCATGTCCCCAGGCTTGCCTTCCCCAGTGGCTCCTTTGCAACATGCTGCAGCAAAGGAACATTTTTTAACACAGCTCTAGACTATATCACAGCTGTTTGCAAAACACCTTACACAAACAAAGCCCTAGAAATGGGGGTGGCTGCTACCTTGCACCCCATCTGGGAGAGTGATGGAAAGACAATGCCTCTTGTCCACACATGGACACAGAGTTCTCCACTGGAAAAGCAGAGCCAGAAGCCCAGCATGCTGCAAATATCCTGTTTATTTATTTTCATACGACACTGTACTGCTGATTTTGCTACTATAGCAGCAAAACAAACATATTGAAAACAAGTTTTGTTTCAGGTAGATCTAAACATCTAATTTCAATATTTGCAGTTCTCCAGGGCTTCTCTGCTTCTGTTTAAAGTTCTCACAAGTCATGATGAAGGAATGAATCTTAGGCCCCCTAAAAGAAAGGGATACAGGAGCTCTTCAGCCTCTGTCTGAACACTCACCAAGCAGTAGAGACCAAGAGAAAAAGAAAGCAAGGAAGTATGTTAAGATGCTTGCCTGAGGGAACAGCAGCAGTCAGGTTTCCAGATGCTTCTGAATTTAGAATGTACTTCTAAAATGATGAAGAAGTCCAGTTGGAGGGCTAGAGATATCCCCTTCCACACACCCTGCAGCCCAACAGCAGAGGGTCTTGAGACTTAAAAGACATTCCCATAAGGTCTCTGTATCAAGCAAATGCCTGTTAACAAACTGCAGAAAAACATGGTCCTTTAGCACCTAGATTTGTCACTGAATGTAGCCTGGAGAATACCTTTATTTCTAAGAAAATAATCTGCTTTGTGAGTTTGCAAATTAAGTATTTGAGTATTTAAAAACAGCCAACCAAAAAAAACAACAAGTCCAAAAACCACTTGATTTTCCTTTTCAGATAAAACATCTATTGAATTTGACCCAGCTATGGACATGGTGTTTCTAAGTTTTCAGCCTCCAGCAGAGAAATTACTCCCCTATAATTTTTCCCACATGATGTTCTAGTCTCTTTTGAGGCACCTGTTTCTACTCCAAACTCTTCTGTACTTTATGTATGTGCCAGACCAGCGCATGTCTGACCCTGTCCTCCTCAGAGGGTAACCCACCCCTCACCCATTTCTCCTACCCTCCCAACCTCCCAGTTTGGCTCTTCAGAAGATCAAAACCCTATTATTTTCCTAGGCAGGACTAAAAAAGTCTTCCCAGCCATCATTACAGCTTGGGAAGCTCTTGGTTTCCAGGGCACTTTGGTGGTCACCACTCAGGGGTGCATGGCAGGGCTCCAGGGACACAGCCCAAATATCTGCTGCTACAAAAGCAGCACTAAGAGAGAAAGCCCCAAATCTTCTCCTTTTTATTGAGTTCCCACACCACTCAAACATCAGGCAGCATGGATAAGCAGTGGTTCCCCCACACCAGCTGATTTCCAGCATACCTTCACCCTCCTTTCTTGGACAGATGCTCTGGCACAGCTACTTTCTGTACACTCAGACCCAGCTGATCCTAGTTTGAAAAAGCTTCTGCCAGGTGAACTGGCAGGCTGTTAAGCTCTGATTTTAAAGTCTCCAAATTGGCTGGCTAGACTTCCTTTTTTCTCTCTTTTTTTTTCCCCTCTCTCTTGTTATTCTTCTATCTCTCTTTTTCTTTTTGCCCTCTCTTTTTGTTTTAAATAATATGAGGTTAGAAAAGCTTACCAGCCTCCTTGGGGAGTCACAATATTTGAAGCCCAGCAATGCACATGCTAGGAGACATCTGTGGGTGACGATGCCTCTTTGCCCTCAAGCCAGAAACAGAAGAAAGGTCTTTGGGAGGCTTATGTAAAAAACAGGCAGGCTGCTAGCTTAAGGAAAATAGCAAGGAGGGGGTAACAGGAAGAATTAATTCCCCACAACCACAGCTATTTCTTTCAGCATGAAAGTCAGCCCATTAATTGCCAGGAAGGATACTTGCCTCCCTACCCAGCTGAGAAGGAGTATTGCAGTCCTTTTCAAGTGGCACACCCCTACATCCCAAAAGCATCTCTGCCTGCTGCAGCAGCATCTCTCCTGAGGCAGCCCACAAAGCCATGCAGGGAACTGGAGTCTGTGCATCTGGGAACAAACCCAGTGAGAGACAGAGCAGGCACCAGACAAGAAAGGACACTCTTTTCCAGTAGAGGAAGCAAAGGGGAATAAGAACAGGCTGAAACACTTATTTCAAAATGGATTTTATTCCAGGCATTAAATAGATTCTGGCACATGCTTCTTTTGAAGAAAAAGGAAAACTAATCTGGATTCCACATAAATTACATCTGGCAAAGTGCAACTTACAAGTGAGTGGGAAAAATAAACCTTTTGAATCCAATTTCTGTACAACAGTAGATTCAGCTCCTCTTAAATAAATTCCCATTGGTTCACAGCACAGGAAATTACAGGGGATGCTCTGATACAGTAACAGCTTTCTTTAAGGGTATTACCAATGCAAATTCTCTGTCTTGACAGTCTAGGGGGCTGTTTAAAATAAACAGGAAAACAAGGCTCAGCAGCTGCTTGGTCTGACTGTTACATATAGTCAGTTTTCTTGAAGAAATCCTAACAGACACCTGTTACAAAACATGGCACTGGATGGACCTTGGGGAAAAAATAGAGATAACATTGTTCTTTCTTCCCTTCAGTGCAAGGGAAGTGTAGAGTATGCTAATAACGAGTTTGAACAAGACTTTGTTTATTCCAAGAAGAAGTTCAGTTTGCCCACACTTGACAGCAGCCTTTTGTAATGTAACTCCTTTTCAGCAACTGCTAAAACACATTGGAAACCAACAGCTTCCAAAAGATGATGTGTGGGGAGGTCTGTGTTGAGCTAAAGCAATGCTTTAGCTGACAGAAGAGTGAGCAGTTGGGAGGTAACCTCAGGTGAACATGTCCAAAACCAGGTAGAATTAAAAAATGAAACTCCAAACTCCACAAGCAATTTGAGTTATTAACATCTAGCATATGTCCACCTTTGCCCTTTCCTCCCCCAGGCCACAGCACCTGAAGAAGGAGTGTCCCATCTTCAGCAGCCCCAGCTTACAGCCCAGAAGGATGCCAGTTCACACTCTGCCAGGAGAGCAGTAGGAAAGAGGCACAAATAAATCAACACAGCCAGTCCAGGTGTGTCTGCCCCAGGAGCAGTCAGCAACCTCCAGCACGGGGGCCAAACACACAGCCAAGGGCAGCAGCCACCGTGCTGACAAGAGCCCTTTGCATTAGGGCTGGCCCAGAGCTTGGGCACTGTAAATAAGCAGAGCTTCTGTGGTCTGCAGCAGTCAGGAGCATTGTTTGTAGAAGAGCTGAGTCCTGGTCCCAGAGTGGTTATGAAGGAGGAACTGCAAGAAAGCTGCACACACACACAGTGGGAGCAGGGAGGAAGGAGGTAGTACCTGGTAGAGGAGTGAACATGCTGTTAGCTGCAGCACAAAAGCTGCTGGAGAATGAAATGGGGGGAGGTCAGATGGCCCACTTAGGCTGTCCTTTGATGAAAACATGTAATCCTTTCACACTTCATTGTATACAGAGCTTACAAACAGTACCTGCTCAGTGGCCCTTCATCTGTCTTTGCATCAGTATTTTTCAGTCAGGTAGGTAAAAACTTGACTGTTCCTGTCTCCTACTGCATAATGATGCTATTCTGAAAGGACCATCTCCTGAAGATTCTTGTTAAAAATGCAGTAGCTAATAGGGTGGCATCTCTGTCCTCAATGGGTCTGTCTGGCCTGCTCTCATTCAATTCCTAGGCTATTTTCCTTCCTTCCTTCTCTGCCCTCTCCTAACCTCAGTGGTTCTGGCCCAAAGCATCTCTCTATAGGAAAGAGAAATCACTGCAGAGTCAGTGCCCTCATTTCCACAGAGAAGAGCAGCTGCACCATTCTGTAAGGATCAAAAGGAACTCCTTTGTGAGTTTTCACAGTGCAGGCAGGTCATTCTTCTGGCTAATCAGGGCTGAGATGGGGATCTGATATCAAAGTGAAGGGGGAGACAGGATAAGAGCTCTGACACATGATGGATTTAATTTTTTTAAACCAAGAACAAAAAACATTGTCCAGTTTTCACACTAAGCACATGCAATATATGAAGAACATTATCTGTTCTTTTGTCAAATGTTTGGGCTAATACCAAACTAAGAGAAAGAATTAAAAACAGATACAAACATGATCAAAAGCAAACAGCTGTTCAGAATCCAAATGAACAACCTGTTTCTTCTGGACAGATCAGAAAGGATCCAGGCAAGCAATTGCCTAATGAAGATGGTCCCACCATCTGGTTCCCCTGTCAGGTTCTTGGAAAGGAGGGTTGGTTTACAAAATCAGTCTCAAGAGGAAAATTTAACAGATCTAGTTAGGAGAAAGTAAAGTTGTGGGGACTTTATTTGAATAGGTGAGCATCCCTTGGCAGGTTTGAAAACCCACATGTGGCTAGAGCTGACTGGTAGGTAACTGGGAGCAGGATTGGGATGCTAGTTAGAGACCACCAGTGCCTTTGGTATTTCCAGAACACAAAGGAGCCTCTCTCAGGGCAGCCCTACACTGTGGCAGCATTTGTGCAGGGGGCAATTTCAGCTTCACCAGCTAACCTCTCCCCAGGGTGCTCATCAGGAAGAGAGAGGGGTGTCAAAAGTAGAGCAGCCCCAATCCTTTTGGGGTTTTGTCTTTGTCTCTTTTGTCTTTCTCAAAGAGAGAAGGAAAAGCAACTAGACAAGGGAGTGGGTGGTTTGTCACGCCAGGCTCTGTTCACAGGGGCTATGCAGAGCTGGAGAGACAAGCATGAGAACTGTGGCCCTGCCCAGCCAGCAGCAAGAAGTCTGCTATGACCTAAGGGCTGTCCCCTTCTGTCTCTCACAGTGGGGATCTGGGTGGGCTCCTGCCACAGCCTGAGCCATGTGCAGCACATCTGTCTGTGTGTGCTGCCCACTGCCTTTGGGCAGTGGCTGGCAGCACCAGAAGAGCAGCCAGAGAACAGCCCCAGCTCCCCTAACATCCCCAAGGGTTGGCACCTGTCTCTGACTGGCTCCACCAGAACATGGTACCCTGAACCTGCAGGACTGGGCCACTCTTGGAGGCAGGGCTGGCCTTCCACACATAAAAAAAGCTGGAAGGAAGACTTCAACAGGGAATAGTCCCTGAAACAATCCCTGGTTAGTCTCATAGAACAGTGTCCCTTTTCAATCTCTCTTGTCAGCACTGCCCAACCTCAGCAGAGGAAGGAATGGGCCCACCAAAAAGAGGTGACAAACCTGCCCCCAGGATCTGCTAGCTCCTTCCCAGCCTTCCCACTGATCATGATGACTCTTCTGGACAGTCCTCACTGAGAGACATATAAGGTGCATGATGGTAGAGCAAAAAGCCAGGGAAGCCAAAGAGCTACCAGTGTTTGTACAAGCATAGCCTAAGCTACTGGACTGAAGGTTGTGGACTCTGGATGCAGAGAAAGGAAAGGATGAGGAGAGCTGCAAGTATTGGACTGGGTCCTCCTCCATCTCTAGGTGCAGCTGTGCACAGGCATCAGCTACAAAGGAGAACTTAAGACAATAGATGGGAAGATTTTGACAACTGTCCTGATTCCTCTCACCCCCAGCTTCTTCTTTGAAAAGCTCAAAACCATCAAGTGCTCAGCTGAAGTGGTGGCTTACTGATGAGCACAATGAAAACATTTAGGGTCAGACATACAAAACCATTCCTCCCTCCCTGATCTCCTCTGTTCCCAAAGTCTCATGCACAAAGAAACAAGGAGATCTCTGTGCTACCATCATGTTGCTTGTAGCAGCTCCCACTGTTGGCCAGGTACACCTGCTTGGCAGGGGTTGGTCACCACTCTTCCAGTCTGGTTTTCCAGGCAGAGACCACTGACAAAGTGTTGAATGAAACTGCCTTTCATCTTCCACTTCTGTGAGAAGACAGAAAAAACAGGATGTTACTTCCATTCTCCTACAGAACCCTGACTTCAAGTTGAGGGTAATCCCAAGTAAATTCCAACAGCTGGGGAAAATTAAAATCTGGGCACAGGGCAGCATCTCTAAATCACTGGGCTCCTGTACTAACAATAGCTGCAGTAAGGTAGGGTCAGGGTTTAGCTGAGTTACAGGGCTGGATGCTCAGAAGCATCTAGAAAGCAAACAACAGTAGTGGTCACAGCACCAAGCTCTGGCTGAATTCAAGAGGCACCTGGACAATGCTCCCAGGCACATGATGTGACTCTTGGGGTGCCCTGTGATGGGCCAGGAACTGGACTCAGTGATCCAGATGGGTCTCTTCCAACCCAGTGTATTCTATGATTGTGTGATGCTATCAACACAAAAATCAGCAAGCAATGGCATTTTTAAAGTACATTATAGTCACAATTTCTGGGCCATTCTCTGTCCTGGACACCAAGATACCCACCAAAACTTGAAACCCTCCTATAGTTGTTTCCCAATCTAGGGAAAGCAAAGCACTGACATGTCTCCCAACACTGAAAGCAACCTGGCCATATAAAGCAAGAATCACACTTCCTAATGTTTGACTGGATCTCTCTCTTATCCATTGTTCCCTCATCTTTTCTTTCATCAAATTCAAAAGGTCTCATATACCTTTCCTGAAGGTCCACTTTGGTTGTGCTACTGACCAGGGGAAAAAACCAAGTCCTAACCTTGAATTTAAAATTCTGCTTGGAAAGGGCTGTACCTTCCATCCCTGCTGGAAAAAAACCCCAAACCTGAACACTGTGAATGATAATGAAGAGAAAAGTAGAAATGAGTCTGTGGATTTGGGGTCTCCCAGATGAGGCAGTATAATTCATCTCCAGTGGGGCACAGCTGAGCTCAACAGGTTGAGAAGACTGAGGGGTTCAGGCTCCAGGGATTTTCCCTTTATTCTTTTCAGTCACAAATATGACCCAGTTAGAATTGTGGTCTGGGTGCTCAGTCAGTAAAGAGCTTAGGAATATTACGAGGATGTTTTGGCTAACTCATGAGACTGATGAAGAAAAAGAAACAGTTTGACAATACTGATGGACTTCAAGAATATTGCAGAAAAGATATGCAATGGAATTTTAGAATTTCCTGCAATATCTGGACAATGTCAAAAGCTACAAACATTTTAATTCTTGGGTAGCATAGCAAAAGGACTGCCACATGCTGTGGGGTTTAAGATACTCAGTTATATTCACATATTGCTGGTAGCTGTTATGTGTCTTGGAGGGCAGGGCAGTTGCAAAGCCCAGAGTAATCTGTTGCTCCTGTATCACGTATTTCATCAAGTCTAAATACCAGAGGCAGCATCAGTTTGCAGTATTGCCAGCCCTGTCTGACAGGACAACACTGAAGGAGAGCTGTTTGTGCAGCAGGAAGAAGCTGATTTTAACGGAGAAGGGGGCAGAGGAATGCAGTGATGATGGACAGGAAGATACAATGCAGTCTTTGCACTACAATGCCCTCACCAGCTGCTGCAACTCACTGCCTACACAGGTCCCAGAGCCATCTGGCTCCCATCTGGCAGAAGCCTCCCTACGAAGAGCTGAGGAAGAGTTAATATCATGCAGCAGCAGCTGTAATGATGGAGTGCAAAGGAGGGGGTCTCTCCCCCTGGCAAGCTGTGCCCTGTGCCTGGCTGGTGCCATTGCTGCACGACAGCCTCCCCAGCAGTGACTCCCAGTGCCACAGACACCCCACTGAAGAGCCTCTTGACCTTCTCCAAAGCACATCTACTTCCTTGCCCTCCACTTTCCCACCACCTCTCTGTATTTGTGAATTCTCACTCTCCATGTTCCACTGTGCATGTGTGAGAGGAAGCTGCCAGCTGCCTCTCCCACACACCCCACAGCTCACCAAAGACCCTGCTGCAAAAGAATATGCTGAGATTTGAGATGGAGAACAAGGCCGATTACCAAGAGGCACTGGTTTTCTTCTTTCTTAGCACCACTGGAGGCTTGCTCATGTTACTCCTTCAGAGGAGAGACCTGCTCCTGTGGCACCCATCCCTGCAGAGCAGGTACCCAACTGTGATGTCTGCAGGGAGAGTCTGCAGCAACAGGCTCAGCAGGACAGCAGCAAACACTCCCCAGAGCACATCTGCTGCTAACAAAATCAATCAGCTTCTCAGAGCCACACCACTGGAAAGCCCAGCATGTCAAGTCAGCCCAGATCCTTTTGTTCAAAGTAAAGTGGGGTGGGATGGGGAAGGGAAGGAGGAGAGAAAGCAAGAGTTGAAGGTGAGGCTCATCTGGGCTGTGGGGAGGTGCCATGTATGTAGCTGTTATAAAGCATACCCACAGTAAAAGCCATAGTAGGGCTCCTCATCTTAAATGCATGGGCTACTTCCAGAATGACAAATTTTACCTATTCTGATCAGACACTGTGCTTTTCTGCCCTTCATGAGATACCAGAGCAACTCCCCTGACTTCACCTGAACCTTTCACAAGGCCTGACTGCAGACCACAGGACTACCAAAGACAGCCCAACATCCTGCCCTGCAGGGACACATGATATCTCAGAGCTCCCAGGAGGGTGGGCAGTGGCAATGGATGGGAACAGGAGCCAGGACACTCATCTCCCACTGTCAGCCACCTCAGAAAGGAGCCATTTAGTCTAAACCAGTTGCCTGGTGACATAGTTATGAAGGTACAAGCCCCTTCTGGGAGGGCCCAGCTTTCTCCACAGACCACAAGGGAAGCTTAGACTGGTAAGTTTTAAATGACAGCAGTAATGGCCACCTTTAGCAAAAAAACCCCAAAAACAGAGTAGACATCTCCTGCATACAGGGAGTCCTCTCTTCTTCTACACCCAGACATTATGACTGGACTGTACGTGGAAGGAAATCTTTGGAAGATACAGGCATTGCACAATCTGAGAAATTTTGGCTTGAAAATCTTCTTTGGTCTCCCTTTCTTGTACAATGGAGATAGTACAGTTTACTGGTCAGAGTAGGTTTGGAGTGAAGATGGAGGAAGAAAAAAAAGAAACCATTTTTTCTTTGAAATATTGTGTTTTGATCCTATTCCCCAGTGTCAATTCAAAATTGCGCCCAGTTTTTTTGCGTATCTCTCTCTTGCTGTTTTTTATCTATCATTTCAAATTGGTTTTAGGTGGCTGGATAGAAGCATTCCGCATACAATAAGTAAGAGAAAAGTCACAAATAGCCAGTCTTCTTCTATCCAACATATACAAGAGCTGAAATTGTTTACACTAGTCTAATTTTTCAGGGTAATCAAAAGTTTTTTTTTAACCCCCAGTAATCCAGGTAGTGCAGGGTTTCTCTCAAAATCCTAACTGTGAAACAATGGAATTGGCCAAGTTCAGGAGGCACAGCTGAGAAAGGCAAATTTTGTTCATGAGGACTGAGATACTTCAAACAGAAATGTATGGAGAGCTGATAACTGGACAAGCCAAGGATGCTGTAAGTTGTAATTGAGTGTATTTGCAGAGCCATGGGCAGCCTGAAGCTGGTCTTGAACATTAGATTTTAAATACACGAGCAGAGACAGAAGATGGAAAAGCTCACATCAGCATCCAGCAAGTACTGTCTTCCTTTGAGCACTTAAATTTGTAAAACTAAATCACAACTAAGAGAAACTCTTGTCTCCTGAAAAGGACTTTCAAGGTATGGCATATTGCCAGTATTGTTTTACCTGCTTATTGTCATGAAGGTGCTGAGTCAGGTGCTTTCAAAATAGACAGGCTTTCTCTACTTTTCTTTTTGGATACTCTATATAAAGTTGCATTCATCTTCAGGTAATATTCACTGAGAAGTAAAGTGGGAAATATTTCCCAATGGCATACAAAGGGACACAGGATTTCAAATAGTGTTTGTCTCACCAGAACACTCAGTGTCCTCATTTTCAGGCTGAGGTCACATTCCTTCAGAACATTTTAATGAAATATAGCTGTTTAATACGATTTCTCAGCATTTCTTGTTCTGTTGGGAAATATTGTGCCAATGTTTCTCATTTTCATTCTCTTGTTTTAGGGTCTGACTCTCACTTTGCCTTCTATTTGTCCTCACTATAACACAAATTAAAACACCACTCCTACTGTCAGTCAGAGCCAAAAAACAAAGCTGAAGGCAATAATTTATTGTGCACTCAACTAAAAATGCTATTCTCCAAATAACATTATGGATAACATCCATCTGCTTTGAAATCTAGTTCTGATTATGCAGAATGGCTTTTGGCTGGTCTTCTGCTAGCAGTGCCAGCTGTTGCTGTTGAATGATCAACAGGATCATGTTGCCAAATAGATTTCATTTCTGGTTTCTTTCAACCCAAGGGAGTCTGAGAGCACCAAAAATCATCTGAAGTGTGACTATTGTCTCATATCCTCCTGCTTGCAAAATTCTAGACTTATTCTGAGGTAATAGTCTAAACACAAATCACAATATTCTAAAGCCTCTGCTAGAGTATTACCTATATGTCAAATGGACTGGTTTTAGCACTCAAAATTAACAAAAAATTATCTGTCCTTGGGACATGCTTAATGCAGAACAGCTGTGTAGCATGGGCACAGCTTCAGCATGTTTGAAAGCAGAAACCAACTTTAGGAGTTGTGTGATGCTGTCATAATGATCTAACCAATCTACTCCTGGGACACTAAAAACCAAAGCTACCACATATACCATCTTTTGTCAGAAATGTTGCTTTTTCATGACTCAGACACAGACATGAAATCTACATCCAGAAAAATGCAAACATCTTTCACCACAGATCTCTGATGACAGTGACAGGAAAGATGTTCAAAGCTGGACTTCCATTGCTTGGGATGCTGTATGTGTGATGCGTGTGATGCAAGGTGCCCACGCTCACCCTCCTCCACTCAGACCACATCACAAACTCAGGGCTCTTATTTGTCATTTCCAGCTCTGCAAAGGAGCTCAGCTGCCCTTCCTCCACCCTCCATTCAGCTCCTCTGACTTTCTGAGAAGCCCACTTGAACTGAGAAGTGGGTACACGCATGCACAGTTTGGAAGCACTGCTCTCCCCCAGCATTTGCACTTTGGGCTGTGAGTACCCATGGGGAGACAAGGCAAGCTGTAGAGCAGCTGAGGGAATTTGTTCCTTCCAGCTTTGCTTTCTTGAAAATCAACCTCTCAAATATCAGGAGGACAGAGAATGGAATAGTTTACAAGATGACTGATTTCTAGCTAATTAAAATCTAATGTCAGTGTTAACAACAATTACTGTTGTGTTTATGGAAGGAAAGAACCATAACAACATTCCCTAGGAACACAACAAACTTGAGCATTGCAAGTAGAATTGGCTTTATAAGCAGAAATCAGAAATGGGAGTTTGGGACTACAAAAACAACCCCAATGTTTAAGAACATTTGAACTCAAATTACATTAAAAATTCAAATGCACTTCTCCCACTTCACCCCACCTTATCCATTCAGCTGCAAGGCACTTTAGAATGGCAGCTGCAATTCAAATCAGTCTCTAATTATTTGAAATGCTTAAACAAAATCCTTGCTTAGAGTCAGTTGGTTAAATCATCTGCTAGGTCGAGTCCTTGGTGTAAGTGCAGTTTGCTCACATAAGGTAATGGAAAACAACAGATCACACTCTTAAGTGTGTGTATGTCTTTATAATGAGCCTGTAAATAATCAACACATCAAGACTCAATAAATCCTATTCCAGCAGCAGAATAAGCCTGCTTGTGTTACTGTGAATTAATCTCTCTTCTGGCTTCTGATGCAGCCTGACTCCACCCTCCTTGAGGGACCCTTGTACTTCCATGACAGAGGAAGCAGGGAAGGACAGCTGATTTTGGCAGCTGCTGAAGTCCTCTCTGCTGCCTGGGAAGAAATACTGTGAGGCACATAAGGAGAAACTAAGTGACCTAATTACACAGCAATGGGATGAGTGATTGCCAACAAGAAAAGGAAGCAGGCAAGCACAGCCCACCTGGGATACCCTTGCAGATTAATCCAAACTCAGAGTTTTCCCAGTGTATTCAAGGTGACAACTCTTCAAGGCATTTCTGCATTAACCAACCCTCCACAGGTCTATACAGGTTTTCCATAAATGTGCAGGACTGAATTTCAGTGCTTTCTTTCAGGAAAAACTGATTTCAAGGATTCATATAGTATTAGAAAGTACTGAAAAAATAAAATGCTGATGAGAACTGGTCAAAACTGAGCTGTCTTCTACATTTGGGCTATCAAAACAACGGACATGTCAGAAAGCACAGAGTCAGCACAGTCTTAGATGACAGAAAATTTGTTCTCTCTTGCTGTAGAGGGAAGCATGGGAACTAGGAATGAAGCAAGTCCCATCTGCTGTCTGCCAGGGTTGTGTTGCTCCCTTTTGTGCTTTGCCCAGTTCTGATAAAAAGGCACATCACATCTCTGCTGAGGGCACCCCAGCCATTGCAGAGGCCATCCCTTAGCTAGAGTTGAAGGCAAAAGGACTGATTTGTCCTGACAGATCAGGGATGCGCATCTTGGAAACAGCATAAGTCAAAGAGCTGCATTTTGTTGGGAACATTGCTGCTGTGTATTTTTCCTCTAGGGAGCAGTTCAGGTGGAACATGCAGTGCTTTATGTCAGTCAGTATCTCTTAAATGAGTTGCATGCACTCAGTTTTAAAGGTCTGCTCACATGTCCAAAGACAGCACAAAGAATACAGGTATCTCACTTCAAATTAAATAAACAAATGATAGCACATACTACCCTTCCCTTAGGTATCTCAAAGCAGTTGCCTCACCTACCTCTCTTTGGTGCTATGCTTCATCCATGCACCAATCTGGCTGCACATAAACTCATCCAAGAAGCAAAGCTGGGGTGCTGCTGAGCAGGAGCCAGCCCTGCTGCCAAGGGCCCAGGCAGAGCAGACACTCACACACTGCACCTCCTGCTTGGTCACACACTCTCTCACACATCCAAGCTTACAAAACACACCAGAGAGGGAGATGCAGAAGATGGGAAGGACTTTAATGTGCTTTGGTACTGCTGGGTTTGCCCCTGCTGAGAGAGAGGTGCAGTTACCCACCTGTCTGCCGTCTTTTTGACTGCAAGCTTCCAGTGTGATTTGAGAACCAGTCGAGAAGGAGGCAATGGAAAGACACTTGTCCTGCTGTCTAATTAAAGGGTCACTGAATATCCACTCCTTTGGAATAAGAAAAAGGAAGGTTCCATTAGGATCCCAACGGTGATCAGATGAGGGAGAGAGAGCTTTTTCTATCAGATATTTTAAAAACCTCCATCTTTTGTTCTCTTCCTACAAAAGGCACCCTGGGAAGCACCTACCACAGCAGATGTCACTTGATCAGAAGTTTATGCTCAGGCTTGGTACATCATCACCATTTCAAAGTCTGCAGCTGGCTCCCCTCACTATCTGAGGTGTCTGATTAACCCATGATCCCATGCAATTCTCTGCTCTGCAGCTTTACAGATGCATGCCTACAAAGCAAGGAGCCCTGACATACATGATGTGCAACTGCTTCTGCATATTTTACACACCAGATATGTTCTCTAACAGGTATCTGGGACCTATAAATTATTAAGCAAAGCAAAACACATGCAAGCATATCCATATATCACCAGCATGCATAAGGGACATGTTGATTAATGTTTTCCTTCCTCTGACTAGATGAATACCTGATCCAATCAAATATTAGTACTATACTTTCCCCCAAGGAAGAGATACAAAATGCAGTAGGTTTCAAAGATTTCAGATGGTAATGGCACAGACCAATGAGTCAGGTTGAATGGCACACTGAATGCTGGCTGCAAACTAGTTTCCAATTGTTAACAGATGTGCATATGTGATAACAGATGTGAATATGTATTTTCTGGCATAAAATACCCTACTGTGACCCTTAACTTTCTCAAGCTGCTTTGCTGCTACTTTCAGTCACCAACAGAGAGTCTGAGTGCAGATCTTCAGCTTGTATATACCATCACAGCTCTACTGCAGTTAGGAGAACTGCACCACATTACTGCCACTGGGGTCAGCTATTTAAACTCTTTTTGTGCTTTATACCAGAACACATCTGCAATACAGCACAATTCAAGTCATCTGCAGCTACAACTGAGCTGGCAGAGCAAGGAATGTTTCTAATCCCAAAAAATCTCATACCCACATGCCAGGGTAGTAGCCACACACAGCCCCAAAATGATTCTCACTGAGTCTGTCACTCCCTGAGCATCTGAGCACCTGTTGTCCCTGAGAGATGAAAACCTTCACATTCTACGCCTGACTGCTGAGTCTGTTGAGCCAACAGAGCTCTGAGAGATGGCCTTCTTTTTCTGCTTACTACTGAAATCATTACAGGATCAAATTCCTTCTTCCTTCACCTCCATATCAACCCACCAAGGCCAGAGATGCCTCTTCATTCAGGTAATTAAAAGGGAAGGAGCAAAGCAGCAAACTGAAGCCTGCCTTACCTGAGTGACAGGTGGATTGTTCACCGACCCTTTACAGTTTCCCATGCCAGCCAACACAGTCCCTGTGGCATCCTGTGCCTGAGACTCCAGACAGTTTCCTCCTTGTCTAATTATTCCTGGAATCAACTCTTTTTCAGGAATTCTTAAAATAAAATGACAGTTGCATGGTACTTCATACACAGAAATGACCAAATTACTTCCACATTTATATGGGCTTAATTGGCCCCTGACTGAACACAGTTCCCTATATTTGACAAAAAATGAACAATATCATGCTGTCCACTGGAATTATCTGGAGGAGGCAAAAATCAAGAGAGCACTTGGTCAGAGGACTAGTACTTTTGTTTCAGAAGGCATACCAAGCTCTTTAGGGGTACCCTAAGCAGTTTCATGTGATGATTTTGAAATTCTGAAAGAGGCTGTTTCCAGCAAAAAGCCATATCCACACTGATTTGCTCTGCTTCTTCCTCCCCCTTTTCAGTCTTCTCCCCAGCTAACACATATTCTTGCCTCATTGGTAGGAATGCAGGAAAGATCTGTCAAGGCCAGACTGCAGCTGGATTTTTCAGCCTCCACTCACAGCCACAGACTGAGGTGGAGGGGCAACACAAAGATGTGTTGCCCTTCCTGAGCTATACACATGTGTGCTGGTTTGCACATGCCAACAACACAGCTCTACCCAGGCTGCCTCCCAAGCTGGGCAAGGACAAAACACTTCTGTGTCCTGACCCAGGGCAGGGGAAGCCACAGGGACAGCTGGTTCTGGCATTCCTTAGAGCCTTCTCTGAATCACCCAAACCTCTGCACTGAGGCTGTCCAGTTCTATGTGGCTCAGCTCCCTCCAGACAGAGCATCCAGTGGGCAGAGACTAAGTCAAAATTGGGAGGGGTGTACTGGACTGGCTCTTGTCTCCACCCTACATTCTGAAAACACCACTGTTGCACATCTCCAAGGGACAGCTGTGTGGGGCAGAACAGAAGGCAGACCTTTTGCAGAGCTGTGACAATACAAGCCAGGAAAACACAGGAGGTTTCTCACCAAAAAGAAGAACAGAGAAAACCTTTTCCAAGCATAAGTCTCTCTTTTACCCACTGCTGTCAAGGCTCATGTTCCCATTGTGAGCCACTTCCCAAATCCCTCAGAGATTTCTACAAGCAAAGAACTGACTCACTTGAGCTCGGGGTAGACGTTCTCCAGATACCACTGGAAGGATTTACAGTTCAGCTTGTGTCGCAACTCCACTCGGTCTGCAATGCTGGAAACACAGGCAGTTTGCTGAGAATAAGGCAGTGAACAAGAGGGAGGGGAACAATGAAGACTGGCCAGGAGGTTTGAGGGAAATTACATTACTTTTTGCCATTACTCATTCTCTCACATAACTGTTGCTGGGTTCAGGGCACTGGCAGTGACCTGAGGTGAAGATGAGGAGAGAGGCAAGTGGCAGGGAATAGAAATGGAAAGCAAACACCTTCAGAGAGCTGTTCTTGCACTTCCTTTGGCTCAGAGCAATGGCAGGGCCCAGGTCCTACCTTGTTAAATAATACATTGCAGTAAAACTGCTGTAAGATCAGGGAAATGTTTGTGCCTCTGGGTGCCCCTGTAAGAGACATACCATGAAACCTGCACAACATCAGCTGCTGAAAAGGCCCAGAAAGTGTTTGTGCTCAGGTACATTCAGATGATTCATCTGTGTGTGCTAAAACATGTCTCTAGCTCATGGCAGCAGGTCTAAGCTGAGGTTGGAGAACTGAGACTTGAAGAACTTAAGTATTTGCTCTTAAGCAGTTTGGGGAGAGGGTGGCAGTAAAAGGGGACATTAACTCAACATCTCAGTAGCTGTCTGCTGTGGCAGTCCTGCTGATTTGTCTGGCTTTAGCTGGCTGAAGAAGAGGATGTCCCTCCAGCAGTCCTATTGAGTAGTGAAACCAGGAACTCTTATCTTTAAGCTCTAACACTACATTTGTGTGTTGGGAAGGAATTTCAGTGATACCCGTGTACCTCTCCATCCTCAGCCCACAGAGGCCACTGTACATATACATGAGGTCACGTACCTCAGGGCAACGTTCTGAGATTTTATATCCACACTGGAATTGAGGGGAAGGAGGGTCCATTTTAGGGCCAATTGTCAGTTTTGGTGTCAAAGGTATTTGCACCGTAAGATCTAGACTTAATGCAGGTTCACAGAGCTGTTACTACAGGAGATTATGTGAAGTCTTATGCTCTGCTCCAGCTTTTATTCAGCCAATGCTGTCAGTAAAGTCACTAGGAAGTCTGTGCAAACAAGAACTGCAGACTTTGCCACTAAAACCCATGAGCAATAGATCCACACACAATATGCAATAGTCTGTTTCCTTCACAAGCAGCAGGGTTACTTGCTATGTGGTCCCAGTCCAGCTGCTGCAGTCAGCTCAAGGACTGATAAATTAGGTTGGCAAAGCTATTTTTATGAAGATACGTAATGCATCATGATAATAAAGAAAAGTGTACAGCAATAAAAGTGACCTGGTTGTCATAAATAAGTAGGAGATGCATCATTATCCTGTGCAAACACATTTGAGATACAACCACATTTGCCAAGTCCCTACACTGATACAACAATAGTTTTTTGTTCACAGGCAGATAAAACCCACAGAAATGCAGCACTCCTGGGATTTTTACACTTATTTGGGAGTCATGGGAGTTTGAGAGCACAGACAGCAAGCTCTCCTCTCATCCCAGGTTTGGTGTCCATCACTGATTTCTGGGTCACAGAGAACTGTTAAGCTGACAAAATGAATCCCATGTGGCCTGAAAACAGCTTTAGCAAAGGTGCTGTAAGAAGCACAATTCTGCAGATTGTGTTTCTAAATCTTACCATCAGCCATGCTCTCTCCTGCTCTACAAACCAGGCAAACTACCCTCCATCCATCAGGAAAGTGGGGAGTGCACCAAGTGCAACATGCCCCATGTGCCAGCCAGCCATACTTGCCCTGGGATTCTCCATCTGCACAGGAACTTAAGCTCAAGCTCAAGATACAGCTCACATTTCCACAATAGCTGCATGCTGTGATAGAAAAATATTCCTGACTAGCCACTTCAAATGTCTGGTCTTTTAATTTCATTATAGATCTCTTTGGCCTTCTGCTAACAAATGATTTATGCAGTGTTACCGGGGAAAAAATTAAGTGAATTAGAAGCAAACCTCATTAGCCACACACTCAAGCTACAACCTCCTTGGCAAGGCAGGCATTCAGAGCACCTCTATTTCTCACACTTAGCCCCAGAGAAGACCTAAAAACTACTTCTTGCTACCAAGGGGTTTACCAGAGCCCTCCTACCAAGGTCTGGGGCAGCTTACCTTCCAAAGGCCTTGCCGATAGCCGAGGGACGGGCCTCGTAGTAGTACTGCTTGTACTCATCCATCCACACCTCCGCTGTGCGCTTGGTGTTCCTGCACCAAGGGGGGAACAGATGCTGTGCTGAGGAGAAGCTCTGCTGCAGAACCTGCCCTCCCTGCCCTCCCAGGAGCAGGCCCTGCGTGGGCAGACCCCCTATACCTCAGCAGGCAGAGGGGGACAGTCCCAAACACGAGACCGAGTAGGCAGTATGGGTGGGTAGAGATTGATTGTGTTAAGTCTACGAAGCCTTGCAAGAACACTTCAGAAATTAAACATTTATTAGCCACAGTTTACCATTACTTTTTTGCATGTACTTCCTTTGCAGAGACACCGGGCCTGATTGTCACCAACACACTCATTTACAGTATCCCTTTTCCCAGATTAGAATAACATTTTGGGATACTGCTTGGAAAGCAGCTCTGTCTAACATCTAACCTCCTGTCCAAATCAGACTAGCTTCATATTAGGTCATGTTCTTCAGGGTCTTGACTGGTTGAGTTTTGAGATGTCCAGTGATGGAGATTTTACCACCCCCTGGGGCCCTGAAGCAGTGCTTGACCACTTTCATTGTCAAGCCCTTCATCTCATCTCTCTTCTCTTCCCAGCTGTGCTGCAGTAGAAGCTGTCCTCAGGGTTTATCTTAGAGCATGTACAGCTCAGAGACAACAGAGATGTCCAAGGGCTGCTGATACCTCCACACACATCACAGGGCAGCATCTGTGAATGGCCAGGATGTCTCTCTGGCATACTGCTCCCCATGCCCCTCACCAGAGACTGAGAAGGAATGAGAAATACTAATACCAACAGCAGAGAAGGGAACAGGTTTTGTTCACAGAAAACAGCAACTCATCCTTCCCTTGAGAACAGATGCTCAGCCACAAGCTGTTCTCCATTACCAGGGAAAAGCACAACAGAGAATTCAGACTTATTTAGACATGCCCAAGACAAAGGTGACCTGGCTGCTCCCGGGAAGTACCCAACACCTACTTGATGTAAGTCAGCGCGTTGCCCTCAGGGAAGTCATAGGGATGACGCTTCCTGAACACGTGTCCCACTCGACTGCAGGGAACAATCTCCAAGCTGCCACCACACATCCACACTCGGAAAGAGAGCTCTGGAAGAGACCCCAAGAGTCATACAGCTGCAACAGTCCTGAGAAGGGCAATTTTCTTGCCCTTCTGCTCTAGGTGTATTGCCTGCATCAGTAAAATCAGGGAAAGCAATGCCATGGTGAGAGCAGAGAAACTGTCCTCCCTTTGTTAAAATGGAGGCAACTATTGCAGCTCAGGGACTTCCAAGCCTTCTCCAGTCCTGCTCCTCTTTGGTCTCATTTCAGTGAGACACCTTTGCATTTGACCAGGTCTTCAAGGCTGCTCAGGATGGCATCTGGCAACAGACTGAGACCAATCCCACACCCAGCCCCTGTTTCAGACTTTGTTACTGTCATCCCTGCACACAGATAGAATTAGAAAGGAAGAACTTACTGTGTAAAGCAAATCATTTGAGGAAGAAAGGGAGTTTAGAAGATAAGGGGAAAGAACAGAACAAGATGAGGGTACAGGGAGTCAATGTCTAGAGTTCAGTCCTCTCCCTCATACCTGTATGTTATCCACCCTGCAATAGTTCCTTCTTCTCATTTTGGTTGGCTCTATTACTAATGAACTAGAGCAACTGACTGTGTTGTAGTTGCCTCTGCTGGGGGAACTGCTCAGAGCAGATACCAATCTCATATAGTATGACTCTGAAAATACAGAGAGAATCCCTCTACTTGAAGAAATCCACCCTATCCTGAAACTAGATTCAACATTTTGCTAAAAGATTAGAAGAGCATGGAGCTTTGACGGGCAGGCACTTATTTGCATCACAGAAGGCATGTGACCTTGCTCAAGCTTTTGGGTCTGTCCTCACTGTTTTTAAAACCCCTTGGTAAAGACAACCAAACCACACCAGCGGGGTTTTGCACTTTCAATTCATGTGGTGATAAAAAGAGAAGGAAGAAGGAAAATGAAAATTAGCTGGGTGGTTTGGTTGTCTTTACCAAGGGGGCTTCATATTGTATAGACTGATTACTTCAAAAACTTGACTCAGCTGGGATCTCCCTCCAGTAATGCCAGATTTATGCAGCTCTGATGCTTAGAAATGAAAAAGAAATTATGTATCCAGATCTAATGGATGTTTGAAACCATGTACACACACTAACATCTTCCCAGCCTTCATCTTTCTCCATAACTTTCCTCTCTGCATACTGAGAGGTAGTTCAAACAGTGAGTTGCAGGGAGGGGGGAGATGGTGTATCTAATGCAGCTTCTCAGTAAAAGACCTCATTTGGTTAGAATGCATTTTGTAGTATTTCTTACCAGCACTTTTCTCTCCTGACTCTTATACAGAGCTAATTATTTTCAGATTCTTTTTAACAGGGAGTTCAAGATTTAAAGAGAGGAAGGGTTTTAGGAATGAACAAATAGCAAAAAAACCCCAAGACATAAGTTTCTGTGTGGTGATGTGTCCAGCTGACATCTGCTCTCCTGGAATGAGCTTCTGACTCACTCTGGCCTACAACAAAACCAGAACTCTCAGTCTGGCATGTGTAACTTGAAAGTGATGCCCATTTCCAAAGAGAGGATTTCTCACACCATCTTAGACAGAACCACTCTCTCATCTACAAATGAGGACCTAATTCAAACAGTCCCTTCCCAAAATTGTAGTATTTAGTATAAATAATGTTTCAGAACATTATCAATATTTTTCCTTGATCAGAAAACCCAGTTTTCAATTAAGTACGGTAAACTGTTTTTTAAGAGGTTAAATTAACCATTCTGAATTCTTCAAGGAAAATTAATACATTTTGTTGTCAAATCCAGGTTGGTTTCTATCCCCCTGCTTTCAGCAGCAACAGACTTGACGGAGGATGAGGGACAAGTGACAGAAGACACTGAGTTTACAGAAAAACCTCCTAACAAGGCAAAACTGGCAAGCCCTGTACATGTGGCTGAGTCACATATAGCCTGGCCCAGCCACTGCCAGGCTTTACAAGAGCTATTTCAAGGAGAATGAAGCAAATTCTGTGGAGTGATTCTGTGGTTTTGATCAGCTCTATATAGAAGAATGGCTGTGAGCACGCAAATAATTTACTGCTACTTATGGCAGAGAGCTCTACTTAGCATCATGCTACTGACATAAGGACCAAACTACAACACTGGACTCCCAGATGGGCAGAAGAATATTAAGAAATATTCCTTCTCCGTCTTTGGGGTTTACAGCTTCTACACAGTCCCAGCTCAGAGGCTGGCAGCATGGCCAAGTGGCTGGCTTTGCAGCTGGAGCAGGGCTAGTGATGGCAAGGAGCTGAGCTAGACTCTGCTCCTGAGGCACATAAGGGAGGGATCTTCATGCCTGGGTTAAGGCTTCCTGTGACTTCTGCCACAGTGCTTAGCTGATGCTACTAGGACTGCTGAGATTCCTATGCAAGCACCACTTCATATCTCTTTTTAATATAACGAATACCATAAAACTGAATTAAGATTTGGGAAAACAGAGAACACTCATTATTAGACATTTTGTTTTTAAAAGGTGGTACCTTGAGAGTCTATTATCAGCCCAAGATATTATTTAATGGTTTTAGAAAGCATCTCAGAAAGAGGCAGCTCTCCCAGCTGTGTTCAGAGAAACAAAGGTTTCCTCTTCCTGACTATTTCATTTTTTCTAATTGGTTCTCCAGGTGCTAGGAAACACCACACAAATCCTTCTTTGAGAGCTTTTATGTAAATAAAATCTGTGACATTTATGGAATCTATACAAAGAGATTTTTTTATTTTTTGCAGTGTTAGCTACAGAGAAATCTACTTAAGTTGGTTACAAAAAGTAAGGCTTTTGTCTTCTCAGCTCCATCTGCACCATTTCTAAATTAATGCCCCAAATACTTGAGGTATCCATGAACCTCTCTTTAGCACTCATCTTGCTTTTATCATTAACACCTGGTGACATTGCAGCATCCCTTCACACGGGGCCAAGAGAGATGCCTGGCATATCTGTGCCACTATTAAGTGCAAGGAGATGGGTTTAAGCACCATACTCTAAAACAGCATGTGAGTGGACAGACTACACTGAATTCCTCAGATGTTTGTGATGCCCTAGTCTGCTTCTAAATGTTTGCATTCTGACTCTATTTGTAACCAAACTCCACTTACAAAGAGGCTTGTTAAATTAGGAAAAATATCTCTCTGAGCTGAGAGAGCAATTCAGATTTATCTGCAAGAGAGGAATAGGTATAAGAAGAGGCTGCAGGAGTGGCAACACAGAATGTCATGTGAAGAACTAGAGGAATATTCTCCAAAAACAAGCAACAATTTAAACAACCTCTTTCTTTCTTGTACTGTGGAAGCTCCTGTATAATAGCACATATGCCTGTAGGAGAGTGTAGCCCTGACCACACACACTTTATGCTAACAGTGATTCAGATCTGACCCCCTTGGGGATTACCTGACTACGTCCCTAACCTTACACTGACATGCTGATCAGATCTCTCACCAAAAAAAAGCTCTGGTAAGCAATGAAGACTGGGAAGCAGTTCTGCATTAGTGTGTCATTTCCTTGAAACATACTAAACTTACCAAAATTTTCTCCTCCCCAGATGTCCATTTGAGTATCATATTTTCCCAGGTGGTTAAACCAGGACTTGTCAATCACAAAGATGCCTCCTGCTATGACAGGGGTTCTGGAGGAGAAAACAGAAATCCAGAAAAAATAATCATGCATATATGTAGCACCACAAACCTAATTTTAAAGGACAGACAATTTGTCCAGGCACCACTAATCATACCTCATTTAAAAGAGAAAAACAGTAGAGCTGGAACGTGAGCCTGCTGCAGGTTTCTGAGATGCCTCTCACTAGATCATCCTCATGCCTTTGTTACTTGGTCTTGCAAGCACTACAAGAGTAATGCTGTGTCTTTTGCATTTATACAAATATGCACAGTGTGAAGGAATGATGGGCACTGTTTGATGACTGTGTTCACCAATTAGACATGGTGTGACAGGCTGCTGCATGTACTGCTCTGCTGTTAGCAAGCTGGTTGCCTCTGGAGTGTAAAACAGAAGCTCACAAATTACACAGAGGAATTAAATGATACTTTCATATTACAAATGGGGAGCTGTCTGCCTATAAAGACAAGCACCATAATTCTTCATATCAGGATTTGTTACATTCTACATGTCTCAGAGCCATGTACCCTGCAGTGAGGCTGGCAACAACTGCTCCAGCCAACAGAACCTCTTTTGTCTGTGGACATGCAGATTTAGTAGTGGGAGTAATTCTATGCCCACATTACTAGGTAAGATTCAGTTTTCTGATCTGCTTTACCCATGCAGGATGACTGTTTATCTGCTTCATTCTTTAAGTTTTCATCTGAAAGATGAAATTAAAAACACCCAAAGCGATTTCTGAGGCATTCAGACTGTTGAGTTAGGGAGAACACAAGAACAAACATACAGAAGAAGAGGTGGCTTGTAGAGGTGGTGTGCATGATAGTAAATAATCACTATTCTTACAAAATTCAGAGAGCAGTACTCTCACATTTAGGGTATAGACCTCAATGTATTCAGAAAATAACATGAAGAGTTTGTCATCATCGACATCACCAACACTGTGGCATTTTGTCCTCAGCAAGGCAGTCCCTGTACTCTCCTTGCCACACTGGTGAAGGCTTAGTAAAGGTATTTGGAGAAGTGTACCCCGTGTGTCAGAGTGTACCTTATAGACTGAGTTGGGTCTGTTCTGGACATCTTCTGCTCTATAGGAATCTGTTCCCACTTAAAGTGAAGGCTCCAGTCAAACCCTGAAAAGGAAAAAGACAAGCCAAATTCGTCTTCTTATTGTAAAAACAGTACTAATAGCTTTCAGTGATAGCCTGCAGTGTTATATCACAGGCTGTCCCTATGTTCCTTCCCTGACCTCCCTCACAGTCTTCCCAAAATGGCAATAGCCTATCCTAATGTAGACCTCTCCAGCTTCTGTCTTGGCACCATCATTCCTTAGCACTACAGATCTCTCCTCAATTTCACTCCACACCTTCAGGAGAGTGTTGTCAGGCTGAGATGCAATTCTATTCTAGCCAGTTTGTTTTACCAAAGGCAAACCCTGTCTGCCAGAGTTATGAGGCTTTAATAAAGGACTTTGTAGGATGTGATATATTCTGGGAACAAATGCCTGCAGATCACTGTACCCACCATGTCTTTCAAGACTACCATGTACTTACAGATGGCCTATGGTGGATAGTACAGCACAGCACAGTCACTAACTTTGTACCATTGTTAAGGGTAGCCAAAGAACAGCTAGCCTTTGGCTGGCAAGCAGTGCAGAAGTGATCCCCAGCCATAAAAGATGTAGAAGGGCACCAGGCAGTGTGGTGAATGCAGACACAGCTGCAAGGGGCTCAGCAGTGAGGGGAGAGGTGTAAATGTTTTCCAGAAGATGCCACAAGATAGCCTGGCAGATCAAAGCAGCAACTGGAAGTGCCTTTCAGACTCCAGGGTCCATGCAGCATAGTGAGGACACAGTGAGATAGTTCATCAATTAACTAAGTCCTGAAACTGCTATATGTTATGACAGTGATTCAAGGTCAAGAGGAAAATACTATTTGAGTTTTGTTCTAACTCTTCAAAAGATCTGACTTTGCAAGTTGCAGAGAACAAGGGAGAGATAACCCATCAGAAAGATCATCACTCTATTTTCGTGGAAAGCTGAAGAGAACACAACTTATTTATCATGCACCATCCCTCAGGTCAAACTTACATAAGCCATTCATTATACCCACCTCCCCTCAAATCTGCTGATGCTGCCAGGTAGGCAAAATTATCCAGGCTGATAACATCAATGATTGGACTCACCACTCGGGTATAATCCTGAGGGAGAGAGAGAAAGGGGGGGGAATAAAGGGGTCAGGCTTTCTTGAACGTCCAGGAAAGCTGCCAGAGATCAGGAAACACAAAGCTGCACATGTAAATCTTTGTCTGGTTTCTCCAATATGGTTCTGGCAGCTGTGCAAGGGATCTGTGGCCACTAAATCCAAACATGGAGATGGTGATACCAGCCAGCTGCACTCCATGGATGTGGGGAATGGAGTCAGACTCCAACACCTAGGGATACTGCTAAGAAACAGCTCTTTATTTCCTGCACAAGTCACAGGGCATCAATCACTGTCCCAAGGGTTTTGTGCTTGCTTTTGATATCTATTGACAGCACACCTTCTGCTCAGCCATTCAAATTAGCTCATTATCATCAGCCTAGAAATTATCAAACCCCTAATAATGTATTTAGCTTATAATGTATTTACCTAGGAAGTACTAGGAATCAAGACCCCACATTTAAGATTCATAGTGCAAACTTTATAATACATATGACACATCGTATACATTATAATATCAAGATATTGTGAGTACTTTATTGCCATTAAGGCATATAGACATTTACAGTTTTCTTTTGAAAACCTTTTAGTTAATAGAAGTCAAACAATTTTTCAACATCATGAGACAGAGCATTAAAAGACAGTGTTGTGACAGCTGCCATGTAAGATGAAACTGAGCTAGAAATGCCAGAAACAGCACCTTGTTATTGGACAGCTGCCAGCATCCATGCCTTTCCTATCAAACCTTCATTTTGTGCCTTGCAATAGTTCCTCATGATGTACCACACTTGGCTAGGATGGGACATCTTGGTAAGAGGATTCATGCTTTTTCCCCTCTGAGCTGTGATGGTGGCCCAGCCAGAGTGTGTCTGCCCAGCTTGAGAATCCAGCACCCACCTGGCAGCCTGGTGTGCCAGCCACTACTCCAACCAATCAGTGCCAGGACTGGCTAGGGTAAGACTGAAATCTATAATAGTATCTACATCAGAAATGCAGAAAGTAGGTCAGAAATAGGTTGACTTGAAATCCACTCACTAAAAATTTGTATACTAGAGGTAGCAGACAGGCTTTTGCATTTTAGTTCCTTCTCTAAAGAAATTAATGAGATTCTGCTTAGGAACCCCTGTGCTGGTGCTGCAGCTTGACTTAAAGACCAATAAGTAAAGTAAACATTTATGGGCTTTATTGAACAAGTATAAAAAGCAGAAACTTTTAATTCATCAATTCTGAAGTTTCATCTTCTTCTGCTCTCTCATATTAAGCTAATCAGACATGCTTACAAAGCATCATTAAAGCCTCCATCCCTTCTCCTAAGACCCATTACTTCATGGGATCCTCCTTTCAGAGGGGAACAATCACAGCCACTTGCAAGCAGGACTTCTCCCATCACCTCTCCCCTGCCTTTTCTTACAGCAGAGCTGTATGATCTCTCCCTCCAGCTCTGCAGTGCAGTCAGGGTGACAGCTGCTAATATTTCTGCCTAATTTTCATTCTTCCAGCCTTCCATCAATCCTTTGCCAAGTGAACCATCAAAGGGAACATCCCTGCAGTCACAAGCAGCTTCTCTCTGACAGGAAGCTGCCTGCATGCAGGTGATGTATGGTGGCAGCTCAGTGGGAACATTAATAGAAGGAAAAATTTGGCAGTGACAAGGCAAAGGGGAGGGTCCAGCAGCAGGGGAGATGGAAACTATGGAAAAATTGCACCATGTATGCTGCCCAAGGGGATGTCCTACATACAGGTGAACATGTCAAGGAAGCATAATGCCTGCAAGAGACAAAAAGTACAAGTTGGTGGTTCCAGCATTCAGCATTGCATCCCATCACTCTGCACCTCCTGCCTTGTCACAGTGGCTGAACAGAATCCCATCAGGGGTCTCTCACCCACCTAGCTCAGGCTGTACCTTCCTCTGCAACAGCTGCCTGAGGAGTACCTTGTTCTCACCAGTTCTGCTGAGGCATGTGAGGGCAGAGGATCCAACAGCACAGGCCAGGCAGCTCCACCCATCCCAGAGCAGGACATGGTGCTCACCTCTTTCACTCTCTGAAGCATTGGCTGCAACCACTCGCTGTTGACTTCACAGTGACTGTCCAAGAAGGTGAGGACGTCAGCAGCCGCCACTTCAGCTCCTCGCACCCGAGAGCGAATCAGCCCTACGAAGAGAAAAGGACAGCAAAGGAGCAGGAAGGTTAGGAAAGGAAACATTTGAGCCTCCTTCAGAAAAAATACTTTGTGCGGCCATACCATGGGGACAGTCAGATGAGCCCTCCCAGCACACAATGAATGACCTCTCCTGTCACTTCTGTCCATGACACAGAACTTCCACCTGGCTCCTTGCCCTCCCCTTCCAGCCCTACCCACAGACACCTGGCTGCTGCCTGCTCACTCACTCTCCCATTGAGCACTCTGCTGCCTACATCACCAATTCCCCATGGCCAAATTCTTCTCTCTGCTTTCTGCCTTCCTTACTGCTTATCTGCTTTATTCCCATTTGTCCCTTATTCAGCCCTGCAGAGAGATCAGCCTGGCTCTCAGATGACTCCTTACTTTCTTACAGACCATCCAACTATGTGGGATGCTCTTTGTGAACTAAACAGTGATTTTTTGTCTCTACTTCTAGATCCTAGCTCCAAACCTGTTGTGCACTGACAGCTTTAGAAATAAGCTAGCACATGTGGGTCAAACTAAAGAGCAGCTGGGAAAGTCATTTATGCATTTAGCAGATAGATGAGAAAAAACTTTCCTTAATTGTATCTCTTTATGATAGATACATGATTGTTTTTCCTTCTCTCATGTCCCCTGCACAGCTTGTTATCTTGCACTTGAAGGTGCAAGAGTTAGCTTGTGTTTAAAAGGATGAGATTTACATCTGGATCTTTATTCATAAAGAACTTAAAATGTGGTCTTTGTTCCAGCCAAGGCCTCAGGACACCACTTCTCATTATTTAAGTATTACGTGAGACCCCTGGAGCCTGAGAGTTGATAAGCTGTGTTCTCCCTCCACAAAACTTCCAAATGCTTAAACTGAAAAAATAAACTCTAACTATAAGAAGCAACAACTGTAAGCAGCTGGGAGGCAACGAGGGTCATGTGGAAAAATAGGCAAGATCTTTGTACTTAGAAAGCTTCCCACGCTCACCTTCTCGATGGGTGTTTCGTAGACACTTGACCTTTGGGATCTTGGTAAGGAGCTGGCAATCCTCAGCTTGGGGAAGGCAAAAAAGACATTTAGTGTACATGCATGAATTATTTGGCTTCAACAGAGAGCCCCAGCCACCTGTCTTCCTGCTTCTCCATGGGAGGGGAAATTCTGCTTTCACTTAACATCACAGTAATCAGTGTGATGGCCTCAGTCCTGTTGTCTATAGAGCACACAGAAGAGCACTGCCTGCTGGCTGTCCTCCTCAGCAGTCAAGCCCATGTTTCCCAATCCTCTGAGCAGCCAGGCCTCCAGCTCCCCTGCTCAGCACTTCCCAAGGACAATGGGGCATGTGCTGGCAGCACGGCACTGGGCACTAATGAAGAGGAGGGAACACAGGGAAGTGGGACTGCAAATCACCAAAGTGCCAAGGAAAAGAGAGTTCTGTAACATAAAGCGATCTTATCTGCTCTCTTTTCCTTCAGTGGCTCATCTGGGCATCTCCTGCCATTTGTTCTCAGGGCAGTTTCCATTTGATTTATTTAATAAAGGCCAGTGGGATGCAACTAGCTTCCTTGGAGACACCAGCACATTGACACATGGAATGCCTGAGCAAGGGCTTTGCTGGCAGCTTGCTAGAAACTCCTGGCATCCCTCATTTCCATTACCTAGGGAAGATGAGGGAGAGGAACAGTTACCTGCTCCAGCCAGACACCAATAAGCACTGAGTCTTTAATTCTCTGTCATCCTCTCTATTCCTGCCCTAGCAGATGTCATAGGAACAGCAATTTCTAACTTGCTCTTTTTCCTTGCTCCATCAAATTAACCCCAATTTCCATGTTTATTCCATATTCCTTTACATGTCTCATGCCCCCTCTTTCCTGCTGTCGTCTTCCCACAGATTGAGCACTCTGGGGAGAATGCAAAGGCCTTAGCCAATGTGCACCTCTTAGCATGTTCCTGTACAAGCATTTCCATTCTCAAGGATCTGTGCAATCTGAAATACTGCTCTTACATTGGCACTTTGGCAGATGCTGCTTCATCCAAGGGAAGTAGCAGGTGCTCTGAATTACAGAGCATCAAGATTTTGCTGGAACTCTGCTACAAGGGAAGGCAATGCTCTTATCTTGGCCAAGTCACAAGTTAGGTATGAGAATCCTTACTCAGTCGTTCACTCTGCAGGAGTGGAGCACATGGCTCTGCCTATAGATACTTGCCAGAGATTACGAACTCTCAGTACATTAGGAGAAACTGGGGCAGGTATTAAATCAAAGTGTCAGACCTCAAACATGTGCTGAAGTGCCTCCATGAACGTGTCTCAGGGAAGTGGCTATATCCACAAATATCCAGCTGCCAGTGAAAAAATAAGAGCTGTGACAGGATGGAGCCTTTTAAAAATCTTTCTATTTACTGAGGAGCCTAAATGGGAGTTTATGGTTGAACCCTGTGCAGAACAGGTACCAGAAATCCATCACTGTTGATCTGGAACACTTTTCCCCTTAAGAACTGAATTTTTAGGTGCAGAATGTGGAACACTTAGGATTGTTTGTTGGAAGTGCTCAGAAACACTAAAATTAAACAGCTGAGCACAGCTTGGCACTTATTCAAAGCATACTGTAAGGCCCTCAGAAACTCAAATCCCTCATCTCAGCATCCACCTTTAAAATGGTTTTTTTGTGGCCAAAGCTACATAAGTATTTAGCTGCAAAATCAAAATAGCATTGCTTCCTTATCTCAGCAGGCCAAGGTGGGCATTCACAGCTATCTGTAAAGTGTTCTGAAGGAGTAATTATTGACCATTACAAATGGTACATAACTAGATTGTCCTTGAATCCAGAACACATAATGGGGGAAGCAGGAAGTCTTCTCTGCCCACCACCTCACAACTACTACACAACAGCCAGGAGCAAGGGCAGCTGTACAGAGGGAAAGACTCCAGAGCCTCCAGTCTGCAGCTCTGGTGGAACTGATGCAGAAGACACTCCCTCCCTGTGCCAAGCTGCAGAAGAAAGTATGGCGCTGTCCAAAGCAGTAACTCTGCCACAGCTTCCCACAGGGACACCTGGGGTCCCAGGCACATGGAGACAGACAGCCAGTCTCGCCTCACCCTGCCAGCAGGACCCCAGGCAGCAATTTTCTGTATGCTCTACTGCATCCTCTTCTTGCCTCTTGGTCTGTAAGTACCTGCTCTGCTCACATACAGCATTGCTACATAGATATCTGTGCTAAATGGCTCACTAAATGGTGCATAATGAAACCTGACAGAGATCTCTGGCCACCTAGCAAAAACTGCCACACTGACAGAAATGGAAGATTCAATGGAAAGAAAAAGAGAGGAAGAAGCTCTGGCCTCTGCCATGCATGGACATTAAACACACACTTACTTTCTTTTCTTTTTCTCCTGCATACAGACAAGAGGGAATCTGTGAGGGAGGGGGACTCAAGAGAGCAAACAAAAAATGGGAAAACAGAAAGAAAGAAATAAGTGTAAAGGAAATAGGTCCACACTTACGATCTGAGCTGAAGTCATCTACCAAAATGATCTCCTGGATGAGACTGGGAGGGGTGCGGTTCAGAACACTGCAGGGACCCAGGAAAGAAAAAGCCACTTTGTGAGCTGCCATAACAATGACAATGTCAGGACTGATAGAAACCTGCTGTGCTATGCAATACAGCAGCAATACCAAACTCCAGTAAAGTGGAAGAAGTGACCTTGCCCTTGTAACAGTGTTCATTGGCAGGACCAAACTACAAGTGAGAATATCCCAGAGAGCTGTGGCACTCTGCCAGACTTTACAAGGACCCACAGCCAGGAGCTGACTGTGAGTCTTGCCTGGGGCAGCTAGCAAATGATGCCACAGCATGCTCTGCCCCTAAACAGAGGTGAAATGGAGAGAACCACCTGCCCCAAGGCAGCCCAATGGCCATTCCCACCTGCCAGCCTCTGGGTGAAAGTCATCACTGCTGGAGGGCATAAAGAGCTGCCACTTTCCCAGCAAGGAGCTCTACCTCAATGCAACAGGTGAGACCTGCTCAGCTTTCTCACCAATTCCCTTCTTTGGAAGGAAGCATTGTCAATATTCTGGATTTGGATTTTTTCCCCTCTTTTGCTTGTTACCTGTCTGTCTTTCAAACTAGCACCACACTCGCCGAAAGCACCCCCTTTCCTCAGGCTGGTTGCACCATACCATGAAATATCCTTGGGTCTGCAGTGAGTTTGCATCTGCAGGACACACATGAGGAAAGCACAGAAAAGCTTCTGCCCTCCCCAGACACCAAAGCATTCTAGTACTTTGGAGACTGAGCAGTTCAGTTCCAACCTCTTTACCAGTCTCATTCATTTAAAATGCTTGAACTCTTTTTCCATGAACTTCCTCAAATCTTTCTCTTGGCTTTACTACCATCACACAGCATATTCCCCCTCCAAGCCTCCTCCAATGCCTCTGTGCACAGGCAGGTCCTCATTACCTTCAACAAGGTTGCTCAGTGATGCTTAAGCAGTCCAATGAAGAGGGCAGTTATGCAAATTTTAATACTAAAAACAGAGGCAAACACTGTCCTCCTAGTTCCAGCAATCTGTCTCATTTCAGTGGCACCTGCTCTTTTGAGCAATACTGGAGAACAATTTCTGGCTTTTTTTCCCTTTTGGATTCTGTTGTTGTTGTTTGATATAGGAAACGGACAACAAGAATAGTCCCATACTCCTAGGAATGAAGGTGTAGAGAAATAAATTGCCATCTTGTTAAGTAACACCACTGATGGCTTTGCGTACAGAGCCAAAGTTCCCCCAGTTTGGAAGAGTGTTCTGCTTTCTCATACAGCACAATTCTGACTGTTCTGCTGCTCAGTATCACATCCCACTCTATTTCAGATTCACATTGCTTTATACACCTCTCATAGTATTTGTATTTTGAGCTGACATGTCCCTAGATGACTGAGCTTGCATTTTCCAAAGCTGAATCTCATTTGCTTCTCTTGCCTTATGTCTCCCTGGATCCTCTAGTATGGTAGGGTGGGAGGTGGGGCGATGTTCCTGTGCCATTCTAAGTGCAGCTTCTCTCAGCACCACCATCTGCATATTTTACAGACAAGGTTGCCCTGCACTGAAATTCTTGTCTGTGCAAACACAATGCAAAACAATCCAGACAGACTGCAGTATAATGGCTGCAAAATGGTATTCTACACCTTCTTCCACTGGCTTGACTATTGGCAATGCTCACATTTTCTCCACAAGTTTCAGGTCTTTCAACTCAACATTACTGGGGAAAAAAGCCCCATTTTGTTCTCTGTTCTTTACCTGCCCACTGATTCCCCAGTAGAGAGAACACATCCCATGAGGAGTTCACAGCTCATTGTACAGTGCCCTGTTCTTCTCTCAGCTCTGCAATCACTTCCTGTAGATCCTTGGGAAAGGTACTTAATCTTCTTTGCACTTTGTCATCCCTGTCTTTTTAACAAGGAACACAGTAATCGTAATATTTCCCCTCACTGAGGTGCCGAGAATGCCATGACAAACACTTTCAGGCACAAAAATGTATTAGTAGAATTCCAAAATCCAAGTGACAATTGCCTTTTACAGCAGAAACATGGACTGTTCCCCCCTCATCTTATGGATTCCCTATCTCCTTTGCCTTTTCTCACAGCTTCCTTCTTCTTTCAGTATCAGAATCCTTACTCTCTTGCATGAACATGACATCAGCACTGCCAATGAGTTTCTCTCCTCTGTCCAGCCCCCACTAAGTTCCCAGATAATCTTGTTTATTCTGGATGTTAGCAGAAGAGTATATTTTTTTCCCTTTGCTCTAACATAATATCCTTTTTTGCCATTCTTTAAATTGTCATTGTAATGAGATGCTACACCAATGCTCTAGCATTACAACAGAATCCTCTTAATCAGGATTTTCACAGGCCCTCTGCATAGGCACTGACAGCTGATCAAATCCAGTGACTTAGAGCCTCACAATTCACCTTTACATTTGCACCAAAACCAAAAGGTCCCTGCAATCATGACTTTCTGAAATCAGAAAGAGAGTGACCAAACAACAAAGCACTTGACTTTTTCTTCTGCAAGAATGCTCACAGCAGCAGACTGAAGGTATGGCTTAAAGATTAATCATGCATAGACTTTAATCACATAAAATGCCTTTTGAGTGACAATTGTTTCTGAAGGAGCACAGGATGCCAAGCAAGTGACTGATTTGAGAGTGACAGCTATGTCCTAGCAAAGAAAAGAGATCAAAACAGGCAAGCAGCTCTTGAGTGACACATGTCTCCTGCAGGACTGAGGATGCCAGCAACAAGCCATGTGAACTGGCATCTTCACAGGTTTTGTCTGATAACCCATTTCCCATTTTTTTCCCCTATTCCCCCCTATATCCTTGCTGGATATTTTTAACCAGTTGTCTCCCTCTACACTGAAAACACATGGCTGGAGCCCACACTAGAAGGCAGGTATGCAGCCCATGCTGCCTCTGAAGACCAGGAGGGGTAAGCAACAGGGTACTTGAGGGAATATGTTATTCCTCTTCAAGGTCACTCTTCTCTTTCCCCCTCTCCCTCATACATAAACATTTCTCCCATCCTCAAGGAGCAACAACAGTACATCATTCCTCTTGCTTCCACCCAGCAGCAGAGATCCCAGAGACAGAAGGGAGAAGAAGGCAACTGCTGAGCTGCCAGAGGCAGAGGTCCATGTGCATGTGAGGTTAGCAAGAAGGGTATGCAGATTAGGGTCTGGCCCCTAGAGCTGCCAGGTTTAGATGACCCTGAAATAAGCCTGTGATGCAGGAGTATCATCCCTGGGTCACTTCCCAGGACCTTTTGTACCGGCATTGCCACTTTGTTGAATTACCTTGCAATAAGGTAATTCTGGCCCAGGGGAGTGCATTTGGGCTCTCTCTGGACTTAAGATCAGTTCAATCCCAGTACCCTTTTCATGTATTTCATTCTAGAATTTCCCAAAATCTTATGGTTGGTTTTTGAGTGCCCAAATTAGATACTCAAAAGCCACACTTGCAAAGACCTTGGTTATGAAAATTTCAACTGGTAATACACTTTCAACCCACCTCAAAATATTAGGCCTCCAAAAATGTTTTCAGACATAGAAAATTTTGCTTTTAGTGCTGCTCATTTTCATCACTTTTCCTCCTTCACATCCATTTCTCTTATAGCATTCCCACAGTGTAATCATGATAACTGAACTTGGGAAAAGGCCCATAATAACAGTGGAATCATATTTAACTTTCACCAGATGCATCTCAAATGGTTCATTCTAATTATCCAAATAATCATGCTCTACCTGGTTTAAGAAAGCTCTTGCAGATATAGAAATAATGACAAGCTGCAAGCCTGACTAGTCAGCAGGTAAACAGGCAGAGCAATTTTATGCTTCCTGCTGCTTAATATTACTGTGGTCCACAGCAGACTCACAGCCAGGTCATAAACCCAACAGAACAGAACAGTCCTGTCCCTTTGATACTTGACTTATCCCGAAGTGCCAGGGATGCAAAGTAATTACATAGCACTGGTGCACTGACTGTGTGTGTGACTTGAACAACAATTACTCTCACAGCAGTAATTCAGCCTGGCACATTCAGATGAGTTTTGCTGAAAGATGGGACTCTCAGGTTACAGAAGAGGCTCTGAAGAGCTCTGTCAAATCCCTCTATAGCATCAGTGTCAACGTGTAAGTCAGACTTATCCTATGCCTCTTCTAGCAGTGCAGCCATGATGTGAACCTTTACCTCTGTGTATGGTTGTCAAATCTTCAGTGCTCAAAAACAAGGCTACTAGCCAATGCTTGCTTGTGTGGCAAATACTGTAGAGCCCAAGAAGGACTCAGCTTTCAGGATCTCTCATGAGACAGGGATAAATTATTGACACTTCTGATGTGATTTAAGGAAGGAGTAAATCCATCACATGCACTGGCTGTCTGGCAATGAAGACCCCAGCTGTAGACAGAGGTCTGGGAGGAAATCCTATCTACTACACCATTCACAGCAGAGTGCAGCCAACTCCTCACAACAGCAGTCATCCAGGGACAGCAGCATTGCAGGGACCAATCTGAATAGATGGTCACCCGTTTTTCAAGGTCTTTGTTGGGGGCTCTGGTTGCAGGAGACCACATCTGAGAGACTGGTAATACCACATCTTAAGTGCTGTATCCAGTTCTGGGCTTTCTGGGACAAGAAAAAAGTAGGACATACTACCATGGTTTCTCAGCACCTATCTACTGTCTGACCTATTACTGAAAAGGCAGAAATCTCCTCCAGCTGCCCTAGCAGCACCATGATTCCAAATAAGCCTGCCCATTTTCTGGACAGTGACTCCGCAGAACTCATTGTATGGTTCAAAGGAAAAGAAAATTATAGAAATAAAAAGACAAAACATGTCAACGCAATATATACAGGTCTCTGGAAACACAATAGCACCAAACTTGGTGGCAGAAACCCAGCCTTCTAGACATGAGGCCAACTTGAAAAAGCCTGTTTCTTTATTCACATAGCACATTTCTTTAAGTCCACAGGACCTGTCAAGGGAAGAAGTGGCAATGATGAATGATGCATTCCTGTTAGCGATACCATCAGCTCAAACTGCTACACAGACAATTCACTCTCCCTTCAGCCTCAATGGCTGTTCCCAGGCCTGCTTGCAGGCTTCAGAGACCCTTTGAGAAATTACTTAGTAAGTCAGAGGGCATTTTTTTTCTGTGGGAACTAAAAGGAAAAGAGCCTCCCTGGGTTCTGTGGGGGTGATGGAAGAGGGCAGTGAAGGAGCAGCTGGAACATCGCTTTGTGGTGCAGATGACTGCAAGCCTCCATCTGTTTGGGGTTGCTGACAGGCCCTATGCCACCTATTTACTTAGCTAGATTTGCCCACTGCTGTTACTCAGATATGAGGATACACTGGTGAAAGATAGCAAGTGTCCTGCAGGCTCAGCAGGAGCTGTGTGCAAAGCCCCAGGGCACACCTGGTGGGCCATCAGTTCAGCAACTGATTACCAGCAAGGGACAGTGAGCAAGGGCTTGTCACTGCACCTAGCAACACACAGTGTTCTCTTTAGTCCCCCCCCACTCTTCCAAACCAAGCTCACACTTGGTTGAGACTTAAGACTGTTCTCACCTGTGGATGCAGGCCCAGCTACCTCTTGTACTTGCAGGGTGCCCCGAAGAAGGAAGGAATGATGAATCTGACTCCATGTTCTCAGAAGGCTAATTTATTATTTTTTGATACTATATTATATAATATTAAAGAATACTATACTAAACTATACTAAAGAATACAGAAAGAATACCTACACCATGCTAAAAAGATAGTAATAAAAACTCGAGACTCTCTCCAGAGTATCGACACAGCTTGATACTGATTGGCCAATGAGTGAAAACAACTCACACCAGAACCCAATGAAACAATCACTTATGGTAAACATCTCCAAAACCACTCCAGACGAGCAAAACACAGGAGAAGCAAATGAGATAATAGTTGTTTTACTTTTTCTCTGAGGTTCTCAGCTTCCCAGGAGAAAAATCCTAGGCAAAGAGATTTTTCAGAGAATGTGAATGCCACACTACCCTTTCTTGCTGCTTGTGATTCCCCCGATTGGAGCCATACAGTGGCTAACTGCAGATGCGCTCTGCATTTGAAGAAATGCCCACAATGCCAATCCAAGCCTCTGGCCCATCCTAGTGGGCCATCTTGAGAGCAGAACGCTGTCACTCGGGGAACTGCAGCCACCCTGCTTGTCTAGCTGCTGTAAAATGCCTAATTTCCCCCCAGAGCACTCCCAGACCTCCCCATCCAGGCCCGGCACCCCAGCTGAGCTCACCTCTTCACCGTGCGGAGCAGCGTGGATCGCGCCTCGTTGTGGAAGGTGATGATGACACTGGTGGCTGGCAAGTCAGTGTCATAGCGTACCGAAGTGCACCTGCAGCACAGGACAGCAGGAGTGTAAGCCAAACATTACCCAGCACTAGTACTGCAACAGTGTACCTGGAATTTCTAAAAAGAGAGTAATATGCTAAAATCAGAACCAGCACAGTTGAGCTGCAGCAAGGGAGGCCTCAGCAGCCCCTGCACCAAGGCTGGCAGAGCTTAAAAAGAACTGCGCCCATTGAAAAGCAACATTTGGAGGCTGTGATACCTAAACTCACAAACCTGCATGCTAAGGAGGCCATGTAGGTTTTATAGTGAACTAAGTTTCAGTTCTGGATTCTAGTCCCTGGATTTACCTGTGATTCACATAAAATCTTGTTTATTCATGCACAGGACATGGACATGCTAAGGATGCATAGAGGTGGTACACCCGGGCATTGCTGTATAAAGCACTTCAAATTCTTTGGACACAAACTTCACAGAAAGGAAAACACCAGCTAATTCTGTGATGTGTGCTGGGGAGTTGCTGAGGCTCAACACTAATGGACCTGCTGGCAATGAAGAGCAATTCTTTCTATCTTCTTATCTGACTCTGTAATGTTAGGTACATACATTCTGACACTCAGAACCAAGGATTAACTTGCACCAGGCTGCTTCTCCCTGTGGAAAGCAAAGTTTCTGTGAGGGGAGCAACTCACAGACATGAATCCTGAATCCAATTCCGGCAGATGCTGAGCACAGCTGATGTGGGCTGACCTGCTCCTTCAAAGCATCTGCCTTCTTAACTTCCAGGTGCCAAACTGCAGTCAGAGTGCTCTAATTTCCTGTCTGATGAAGAAACTACACCTACTTTTAACAACCCAAGGCTTTGCATAGACTGAATCTCCATCCTGACAGGGAATACAATTCAGTTCTCAGACCCACTACTTGTATTTCCACATTTACTTACTATTCTTTTATGACTACTGCTAAACTGTGACTAGTTTCATCATCACTTTCAATCCTACTGGTTTATGACTTTCATTGCAGTGTTTTATTAAGGGGACAGCAGCTTCATACAGCAATTTTCAAACATATAGAGAAATCTGATAAAGACTAAAGTGGACAACGTGAGAACAGACCTGAGACAGACCATATTTATTATTGTTTCAAAATAACTCTGTGATGTAATGCACACAAAATGTATTAAGGAATCAGGAAGTGGAAAAGCAGAAGAGGCTGATGTATGGGTTGTTTGGGGAAGCTTTCCCAGTATTTTAGCATTACTACAGCATCCCAGAGAACAAGGACAAGGTTTGTGCTTAAAAGTTGACCCTGTCTTTGCTTTGGATCAAAGAAACAGATGCATGCTAAGTCAGAAGGAGCTTGTAGGATGTAAAGTCAAGTATGTCCATGCCCTGGCTTGGGTGCCTGAAGAAAAATTGATGTTAGTGATCTACAGACTCCCCCCATTCCTTAAACAAAGAGCCAAGTCCACAATCTAACTTGTATCAGCTGAAAGAAGGTCTCATCCTGAGTTGCCATCCTAGCAACTATTCCAATATTGTTATAAGACAGTCAAACACAGATTGCTCATTCCCAAATTACTCCCTGTAAAGGGGAGAAACATGGAAATAGGTTTATTTGTTCTGATTATATCCTACTTTGGACTCTCCATTACTCAAGGGAATCCTTGAAAAGCTGGGTCTGAAATAGCTATACATTAGCAGAGAATCACATATATTTTGCTTTTCTGACTGAAGTGCACAGATGAGGCTCTTCACAAAAAGCATGCTCTGCATGCTATCACAGATCAAAATAAACAATAATTTATCTTTGAAGTGAGCTGGTCTTAGGCCAGAACATGACAGCAGATTAACAGAAAACAGCAATTCTGCATTGCAGGGAGACTTGTCAGCAACACGGAACATGGCACTATTGCCTCTGCATCACTAGGAAGCCAGTCCCAAATACTATGCTGGAGAACAGCAGCACAAGACTTGGATCCCACAACCATGGTCCTGACTAACTGCCTTCGAAAAACACTCTGAGGGCTGTCAGTGCTGGCAGGCTCACAAAGCTCCATGTCTCCTGGCATCCCTTTCCCAATTTCAGTCAAGTCAGATGCCTGGTTTCCTGCTCCCAGCTGCTGGGAAATGTTGTTTTGCAACCATATCATACCTAGAACCATACATAGTTCTAGGTAGAGTCTAGGACTGAAGTAGACTATTGTACACTATCCTATTACTATTAAACCTATAGTTTTCAATAATCTTTTTGTACTAAAGTGTTACCTTTTTGTCCTCCAGAAACTACAGAATAGTTACCCAAGCAGCATTAGCAATGTAAGGACAATTTTTTTCAGCAGAATAGATGAAACAAGGACAGAATGACAAGCACTTTGCAAGCTACAGAACACTGTATTTGCATGTCAGTTTCATCCCTACCCCACCAGCCCTCAGCCAGTGACGTTCAGGATGAAAAGAAACACAAAACCAGCTTCAGACAGCCAGAGCACAGCAGGTGAGGAACACCAGAGCAAAGCAAGGCTGCAACAAAGGTGCACTTTGCAGCCAGGACAGAAGGATGCCAAGGGAAGCCATGAGTGTAGGGGCAGTTGGGCAAAACACAACTGTCCAATGACCAATCCGAGCTGCAGTGGAGGGGCTGTGCTAAAAGAAGATGATGCTTGGACCTGGAAAAAGAGGTGTTAGAAAAACCTCAAGCTGGGACTGAATTTGTCAAGGCTCTCCAAGCACTTGAGACCTTTCCAGATAAACCATGAAATTCAGTGAAATAGTGGACCAAAGGAAAACCCAAAACATGCTTTGTCAGCATTACAGACTGACAGCAGAGAGCAGTGGGCTCCTGCAGCAAGCAGCAGCACGGCTCAGAGCAGGGCTGCAGGGTACCTGTAGTGCCTGGTGTCCCGGATGGGCCGGTCGCTGCTGAGTTTGTCACTCTCCAGCTGGTTGAAAGCGTGCTGCCGGTAGGGGTCTTCTCCAGCCTTCAGCACCTTGGAGGACAAGTACGCCTTCTCGTCAAAACCCCGCCGGCTGCTCTTCTCTCCCAGGGGAGCCCTCGTCATCTAGAGCAGAGACAAGCATCAGAGCATCAGGGACGGCAGCTGGCCCATGCTTAGAGGTAATAAGTTCAGACATTGCCATACATCTGGAAGTTGCTCAGGCCTGGGGGAAGGCAGGATAGGCAAGAGCTTGGAAAGGAAAGCAGGAGTCCCCACAGACAGGGCGTTAAAATGGCAGGCTTTGTTGTTTGCTGTCCTTACTGAGTGAGCTTGGGATGGAAGCTGCTGTTCCTGATAGCACAAGCAGAGCCAAGTTCCCTTTAGCACCTGTTACACAGAATGTGTGAGACTGCAGGCATTTGGAAACCCTTCCAGGCAATGAATGTCTGAGAGCAGTCTCCAGCCAAGGTGGCTGAGACACCATATTTTGAGGAAAAGCAGTTTCAGCCTTTCAACAATCACTGCATACAAACAGAGAAGCAGCTGATTAAACAGGTTCCCTGCTGTGCCTTGCTCAGACTTGCCCAGTCTCACAGACATCCTTGATAGAGATGAAAGCTGTCCATGACTGTCCTCAGTACCCCACAAGAGTTACAAGATCAGGGCCATCCCTCTCCCCTCCTAATTTTCCCCTAACTTTCCTAGGCCACAGAGATAGTACAATATCAGCACCTGAAAACCATTCATGGGGTCATCAGGAGAGAGGACAGGCACAGCTCTGGCTCTCTCTTAGGTACATGACTCTATTTGGAAACAATCTACAAACTCTAAAATACTTTCTTATAAAGCAATCAAGACTGTTTATACAATAAAAGTAGTTTAACAAATTTTCTGTGGTAGCTGTTTGATAGACCAAATCATGAAGACAAAATACTCCCAAGCTTTGCAAGGGAGTGCTCGAGCTCCCTAAAACTGCTGCAAGAGGCAGATAATTGCACCTACACATCTCATTCAAAGCACTAGGTAATCCCCAGATCTTGAGATCCTTCTATGTAAAATAGCTTGGATGCTCTCTACTACCAGGCTTGATCACGTTTCTCCCTCTGCTAAAGGTCTCCTTTTAGGAGTTACAGAGGGCAAGAGACCAGAGAATGGTCCCCAGTATCACACAGCATGTTGGTTGGGCCATCCTAGTAGGTTGGGAAAGAATTCAAGAGACCCAACACCACAGCAAATTGCTTAAGCAGGAGAGTGCTTAGAAGAACATTCATCTCTGCAACTTTCTCTGACAAGGGCTACCCTTCAGTCCAGACAGCCCTAGGAGAACCAGACAGTCAGATAAGATGATGGCAAATGAAATTCAGCATAAAGAAGGGAAGACAATGAACATTAGAAAAAATAAATTGAACTACTCATGTACATTGATGGATTTCAAATGAACCGTCACCACTCAGGCTACAGATCTGAGCATCCCTGTGGACAGCTCAAATGAAACCCTGCACTCAGTCTGCCGAGATGGGAAATGCAGCAAATTGAGTGCACTGCAAATGGGACAGAGAAATCTGAAACCATTGTGAGCAGTTACACGCAATCAGTGACAGCCCAGCAGCCTTGGCCAGAGCACAAGCTTTGTCAAGCCTGTAACTGGAAGGAAGCTACTGGAGGATGGAGAGAAATTAGAAGTTAGGACTGTTCCATTTGGAGAGGAGATGAATTAAGTCAGAAAAAAAAATTAAGGTTGGCCATAAAATTATGCCTAATACAGCCAAAGTTAGCCTGAGATCAGATTTCCCTTTCTCACGATACAAGAATGAGGCAAACATCTTTTCATGGGGGAAAGAAAAAGAGCTATTATTTTCAGCACTGAGAAACTCCTTCAGCTACTGCACATCCAAGCCAATGTTTATGGATCTGCCCTTGTGTAGGACACACACAGAGGCACACTCCAGTGGGTGAGTTTGCCTCTGCTCCGCTCCTCCAGAGTCCTGCTCTGCCACCCCTTCTCCAGGGATGCTGCTGCCATCCCCTCTGCCCCTTGCAGCCACCACCACATCACCTGGGCATGGTGCTGGGTTACAGGAACATCTTGGCTACTTTTATGGCTCCTTGCACAGCCTGCTGCCTAGAATCTTCCTTGAGCTTGTATTTTCAGTATGATGAGAAACAATTACTTTCATACCTCAAAAAACTGAAATGTTTTCTTTCCTTAAATCATACAAGGAGTTTTGCTGAACTCAGCTTCCATTTCCCTTTTTCCTTTTGCCCTAGAAAACAATGCTGATTTGAAGCAAAAGCCCAGCTTATCACACACCTTTAAATACTTTGCAATCACACATTTGCCCTTTGATACTTATCTCTTGCCCCTCCAAGTCCCATAAAAGCAACAGCTGGTTTTGGTTTATGTTGCCAGGAACATACTAGAAAATGCTGGAAATGACAAGATATCTTCAGGAGACATTTTTCCCAGGAGAGTGCAAGAGCTGGGGAGCAGGGTCTGGCAGCCAGGGACAATCCTAGGCCCCAGCCAGAAGTGGGCACCAGGGCTGGGGCACCAGGGCATCCCCGCCCCAGGGAATCAGGCACCTCGCTGGGGAAGGACAGGATGAGGGCCCACCTTGGCAGGGCCAATGGCTGGGCGGGGCAAGGCTACCAGGAGCTGGAGACCAGTCCAGCTGCTGCATCACTGGGGCAGGGGCTGTGAGACCCTGGGGAGACTCCTCCCAGTCCCAGGGAGTGGGCAGGGACAGGAAGGCCCTTTATTGCCCTAAAAGCCATGACGTTTAAACTTGAACTCTCAGGGATAATTCTTCTAGATACTATGGTTCTCACATTACTTACGCATCAAAAAGTGATAAAAGAGCACTAGGAAATGATTGACGGTTAAGAGTTAAGTCCCATTTGCAGTTTTATCTCAGACAGTATCTCTTTGTGCTCTCTTCAAAGGGAGGATTCAGAGGATGATAGCTAGGAGGGCCTGGGTTCAGCTTCCAGAAAGGCAGCTAATCGATAAATAATCAACAAGTAACCAAACATCCATCTATGAGCACCAAGAAGATAACAAGGTAATAAATAGGGGCTAACTGAGATTTGTCAATACCGAGTCATGTCAGACCAATCTAATTTTCTTCTGTGATGGAGTAATCAGGCTCAAGGCTATGGAAAAGCAGGAGACAGATACATCATGATTTAGATGTTTTTGGGAGGGCATGTTAAGATGCTGTCATTAGAAAGCTAGAAAAGTAATAGTCCGGGTGAAACTACTACAGAATGGGTGAAACTGGTTGGAAAGTTACTGCCAGAGCATAATTATTAGCTGTTACTAGAGCAGAGAGGTAAGAGCAGGTCTTTAGGGGTTTGTTCCCAATCCAGCACTATTCAGTATTTTCATAAATACCTTGGATTCAGACACAGTAAGTTTGTCAAATCCATAGGAAATCCAGAAAAAATGCCAGACACATTGGGTAACAGGGTTAGAATTCAAAATTATCTCAACACATAGAAAATACATCTGAAAACAGTAAAAGCAATTTAATAAGGGCTCTGCAGACCTTTACAGTTCACCAGGTCTGTGCTGATACAAAATATGGCAGACACAGCACAGTAGCAACCCCTCAGAAAAGCCCTAGACATTACAGCTCATTACAAACCACATGACAGAAAAGTCAGATTAAAAAAGCAGAGCAAACACAATCCTGAGTGCAGCCTAGACAGTTATGAACTAGCCTAACAAAGTGAATATAAAGCTTATCTTTAAGGACTGACTTGCTTTATCAGATTATATTCCTAGAACATAGATGTTGCACTACAGGACATTTATTGCTGTGAAGTCAAATGATACTTGACAGGAACAGTGCTGGTTCTCTATGAAACCCTGCCAAACCCTGTCTGAAGGGCGGACTAATGTCTACCCTCCTCTTTCCTGTCTCCTCACCTTAACACCTCTCACTTCAGGAAGTAGTCAATATAAGCAGATATTAGCTTTAGTGTATTAAAGGCACATTATGTACAGCTGAATGCAGAGTCAAGACTTTTACCATACCAACAGGACAGTTCATACCCCTTGGTCCTTGATGTAGTTACACACCCTCTATCCCCATGCTTGGGGCTGGAAGTGCAAGTTAGGGGAGCAGAAGAGCCCAGCTCCTTATGACTGCTGCTCTCTCATTAAAAAAAAACAAAAAAGAAAAAAAAAAAAAGCTACTATTAAGCAGAAATAGAGATGACTAGGCACTGGAAATGTGAGTGTCTAGACCAGGGATTAGCAAACAGTTTGCACAAATTAAGTTTTGTCCCAAGCATTGCTGAGACCTCCAAAAAAATTCACATATGAAAATTTCAGGAAGTACCGTAAACCTTCTAATCTTATTTCACCATTTCTCATTTTCACATATACTATTCCCTTTCAGTGACAGAATGGAATCAGATGCTCTTCTGCTGTTGAAAGCATGTTTTCTGATTTGTATTTTGACATGGCCCAAGAGACCAGAAACTATTTAAATAGCAAAATTAACTTTGTAAGCGAGGGATTTAGGTAAAGGAATTAATGCTGTGCATGTCTATGAAAACTTGAGAGCCTCATTTCTCAAGTAACACAGGGATGTTCCTCTAGGCCTGATTCCTTGTGAAATAGCAAGACTGCCATAGAGACAGTGTCATTCATCTCTGTGCATTGTCATAGTCTGCCATCAGACACAGGCACACCAGCTGCCACATGGTGCTAACAGCCACTAAAACCAGAGCTGGGAATTCAGGGTCCCAAGGTGCATCCTTTTAACAGCAGGCTTGGCCAAATTCAAAAAGAATAACCATACACCAGGGGTCATGAGGAATCGCTATTTAATTAGAGTAAGGTATGTAAAACTCTCAAAGGTAAGTGCAATTAATAATTTTACAGTTACTATGAAATTAGTCCAGCAGCAGTTTTATGTGACAGGACATACACTTTGCAGCTCTTGCACTTCTTACAAGCATTTAGTGCCAGTAAAACAAATGGAGCAGGGGGTGCCACACTTCTCCTTTAAGCTCATTTTCACAATTGCCTCAGCTCTGTCAAACCCCCGAAGTGAAAAGCATCAATTGCAAGCCATCCCCACTAAGTGTCTTTCTATGGAAGACCTAACTGA